AAGAGAAAGAAAAACTTATATAATAAACTACATTAACAAAACGAAAGATCAAGGTACATGCTATAAAACCACGAATCTTCACAAATTTATATTTCGAGACTTCATTTGCAGTTCAAATCGTCGATTTGTTCGTACACCCTTCAGCATCATCCGCATTTCATGTTGCTGTTTTTGTCTACAAATATTCACAATTTCATAAAATTTTATATTAAATTATTTTAAAGTTTCTTACACATATATCTATAAGTACATTATTTAATTTAGTATTTAAAGCCTTTCGTCATCATTAATCCTATAGCTTCATAAAATTTAATAAAACTCAAATTATATATCTTAAGCTTATGAATAAAAGCACTATCTTGTAAATAAACTGCTATAAAATAATTTTCTTAAAATAAATTTAGTATACCTTGAAAAAACAGTTTGTTTTTTCAATACAAGATGCGTAGCTTCTGACTTTTTCAATTTAAATCCAAATCTGTTATGAATTCCATCTTTAGTGTCGCTTGGTAATGGTTTTTTCTGTTCCGATTTTCTATCTTTTGAAAATGATTGGTTAGCAGCTACAAAAATGATTTATGCAAAATTATTAGCATTTATAAAAGTTGTCGACGTATGCAGAATAATAATATTATCAAATTACTGAACGCTAAATGTCTAGCTTCCAAACGTTTCTTTGCATCTACAAGCGATTCTGATTTAGCAAACATTTGCTCATGTATCCTTCCGAAATTTGGTACTTTTTTCAGCGATGATTTTTTTTCTGAAAATAAATCGAAGATTATTAGAATAAAAAATAAAATCTAAACAAATATAAAATATGAACGATTTTTTGTTTCATTTTACCTGATTTCTTTTCAACTGATGCAAAGGTTTTTGGTGTTGCTTGAATTGCATTTAACTGAACTCCCGGTGTGTCTCTGTGTATTTTTGGATTTAAGCTCTTGAAAGGAGAAATCAGCGAATTCCGAGTAAATTTTGCAGTTTCAGCCTTTTTCGATTTTTGTATTGAATTTATAACATTGTTTCTATGCTGTGCATTAGTATTATGTGATATACTCGATCGTGATCCGTTCAACTTGTTAATTGAGTTTCGTAAACTATTTGCGTTAGATGGTATATCCGCAAAACGCACTTTAGCCTTTTTAATGTTATCTTTCAAGACACTTAAATTCGCGTCTGCTGAACTGCGCTTTCTGATCATTTGTCGTAAGTTTAGTGTCTGTGGTTCTTCCAATTCATAGGTATTGTTCTCTTGCTTCTTCTCCATCGAATTATCCTTATCATAAGTAGTGTTTAGTTTCGTAACATTTACAAGGGGAAATTGACTAATTTCTAGAGTATTACTAATGTCTTTATCATCAAAAAGAGAAGGTGAAGACACATTTTCAATGTCTGTGTTTCTATCCATTGTACTAATTAACATATTGGATTGATTTTTATGTCTTGATCTAGTCTTAAGAGAAGTATTATTTATAGAATTCATAGAAGTATCAGACAAATTGTTTCTTGATATCATGTTTTTCTTTCGTGGAGTGGATGACACTAAGGGTGCTTTTCCTTGTATTAATGCATTATATTTAATTCTTGATGTTCTATTAGTATTCGTGGTAATTCGTGGTATCCCCATACTATTACTTCTTAGTTCAGAATTAGAATCTCGCTTAGTAGACGTACCTCCAGAAACGTGGTCCTCAACTGGTACTATTATTACCTTCAAATTTCTTGTCCCATTTGAAGATCTTATTTTAATCGAAGTATTTCGAGTTTTATTAGCGGCCACACGTTTTTGTTTCACATTTTCGGGTGATAATTTATCTAATACCACTACTGGTTCAGCCAGCATATCTTTTATTTGTGAAGCCGTCAATATCTTTGTTAATTTTGGACTTAAACGATTTTTTATTGTTGATAAATTCTTTTCCTTGGATAAAGAAGATTTTTTGGGGCTAATTTTGAACGATTTGTCATTTTCAAGACTTGATGTAGTATTAGGACTAGCAGAAGGTGTTTTTTCTGGACTCTTTTTCATCCGGGGTGGAGATAATAATTTCAGTTTACGTGATTTTGATTTTTTCGATTTTGGAGACTTCAACGCTATTTTCGGAGATTTTGAGAATTTACGTGAAATTAAATTTAAGTTAGACTTCTTGCGATTACTTTTTGCTGTTGATGACGTTGATGCAATTTTATCGGACTTGGAACTATTGTCTAGAGTGTTCTTTTTGCTCTTTCGTGATTTCTTACTGTGAGAATCACTATCTGATTTTTCTAAACTCTCCTCAGAATCCTCACTTGTGGCAGCAAGAGATAACTTTCGTGGACTCTTAAATAGCTTCGGTACAGTTATTGAGTGTGTCTTTGGAGAACCTATGGAGATTGGTGATTTTTTGGGTGTCTTCTTAGATCTGTGCGGTGTAAGACTAAGCTTGGGAGGTGTACTCTTAGGAGTAACTATAACAGGCGATATCTTTGCATTTGTGGCAGAGATATTCCGTTGTAATTTTCTATTAAACATTTTTTCTGAATCCCGATTTATCGAGGCATTATACTGAAATAAATTAGTCTTGACGAGTTCCACCGTTGCAATATTGTTGCAATGCTTATCTCTTAATATTCTGATTGATTCACTGAGATCCATATTCTGGTCTTCTTGTAACATAGATGCTTCTTTGTTTAAATTAAGTTTTCGACGAGTAGGTTTCTTCTTTGTGGATTTTTTTAACATTACCTCCAGATCAGGTTTTGGCACTTCTTTTTTGGCACTTTGCTTAGCAGTGGTTTCCAAATTATTCTCAACATTAGATTTCCCCTTCCTCTGTGGCTGTCTGATTTTCTGTGCTGACTTGGCCACATCCTGGCTCACATTTACTTTTTGTGTCTTAGATCTAGTGGAAATAGATTGTTCCGCTGTTGCTGTAAAATAATAAAACATTTCAAAACTATCTTTGAAATCATCGAAAGTTTTGTGAGAAATCTAAGATTGACTTCAGGCTGTAATCAAACTCCAATTAACTTAGCAATTATGTATTATAATTGTTATATTTAAGTTTTTGAACGAGATAGAACTATTAATTATTGTTTGACAAATATCTATTTTTACTAATGTGAACTAATTTTAATCTTGATTTAATCTATATACTCTGGGTTTTTATATAATTCTGAAAATTAAAAAAAAATAGAAAGTAAGTTAAATCGAAATTAAAGTTAATGTAATGTAATTATTGGAGAATTGGGCAAAAGAAAAAAGATTGAGATCTTGTTCCACCAATGTAAGATTAACTTTAATCTTTGTTTAAGTTGTCGTTTATATTTTTCTAATTTCTCAGAACTAAAAAAAGATAAGGAGTAAATTGAACCGAAATAAAAGTTCATCTTACATTGATGGAAATCTTACATTTGGCGGATCTAAGGATGATAAATTATATAGTTGAGAACTTCAGCAAACAATTTTGCGGTCAAATTATTTGGAGCTTAAAGTTTAAGTCGCTCAATGACGGGAATCGAATAACTTTTTCGATCAAGTCGATAACGTAGCGACTCGAGTTCTCGAAATCCGCACAAAAAGAAACGCAAAAATACACCGCGAAGAAAGTTACAATAACCTTACATTCGAAATGAAGGAGGGAATCATCGGGATATATACATATGTCCGTCTCACCTGCTCGAGTTCGTCTGGGCGACATTCGTCCTGATTTCCTTTTGCCACGTAGTCGTCTTGTCACGAATGCACCTCTGACACTTCAACGCGGTCCGATCTTACCGCTTTTCCGATGATTTGTTGAGTCTAACTTGAACGTGGGCTTAGTGGACTTCGCACGAAATAGCTTGGCTGTGTTTGCGCGCCTATTTCAACGGCCAATTGCGACGCTCGAGCGATTCCCCTCGTCACAGAACACCCCTCATCTAGGAACGCGTGCGCTAAATTAAGTCAGCGTCGTGGACTCGAACTGACTGAAGTTTTAAATGGCGGTGTAACCGACGCCAGACAACAGAAAAATCGCGTCTGATGAGTCAGCTGCTTAAAGGAGCTATAAAAAGTTTTAAATAAAAAATTAAAAAGGCTCGAACAATTCGTTTAATAACGAATATATCGCGAAAATATATGCAGACTTTTATAAATACCGTTTTGAAATGGACAAAAATTCGACCAAAGAATTGCTGATTGGTTAACGACTTTAATGGTTGATTTTAATGTGAAAATTAGAGCCTCCATTTTTCTCGATGTCATTGGCTGCGTTCAGCAGAACATAACAGTTTTGCAACCGTTTTATGATTGTCTGCTGAGAATCATTCTTTTAGATTTAATAGTGTAATTCAATCAGCGCGAAGAAAACTTCCAACAGTTAAACAAACGTTCTGTTGAATGGACGCAGCCAATGGATGTATTAGGTGCATCCAGAAGCACGACCGATCACTAAGCACTTGCATCTGATTGGTCTATATTTTAAGATGGAATATGCCAATCAGATGAAAAAGCTCACTGAGCGCTCAACAAGCTCTTTCTGGTTATTCCGTTAAAATATAGATCAATCATATGATAGAACTCAATGATCTTTGGTATCTGTCTGATCTGTATTTTTAGATCAAATAGGTCGAATGGAATATGCCAATCAAATGCAAGAGCTTACTACTGGCAACTCAGTGAGCGGTTGTAGGTATTAAATGTACCTATTTTGAAATGCTTGACTGTGATTGGTCGATTTGCTTACGGCTTTATGATTACGACTAAAATGTTTGTATTGTATATACATGTGATAGAGAGAAAGAGAGAAGAACAAATTAATTACAAATTTTTTGTCATTTGAACAAATTCTAATTGTACCCACATGTATAGACATGTACGAGAAGAATAGATGTAATCTTTCAAATAATAAGAATAAATACAAATGTCATTTGAAGTACAACTACAGTACATGAATATTTTATACAGAATAATTTATAATAGGAAATAAAATGTTTGCTTTTTTCTTTTAATTTAATAAAATATATAAGGAAAAATATAATAGGATATATTATTTAGTCGATCTTGAGAAAAAAATAAGACGATGTCGAAATATTTCGTGAGTAATAAGAAACGTATTTACACTTTCTTGTAACGACAATTTCGGAATTAAGGTTGAACAGGATCTGCGGTTTTCCAAACACGGTTAAACGATAATATCACAGAGCGTGGGAGTATTATAGTTAATAGTATGCGGAGATACATGGTGACTGGTGTTCCGATGAAAAACTGACTTCAACTAGCTTGAGAGTTGAAAGTGCATAGCACTAAACTATTATTGTGCAACGTAGCCGCTATAAATCTTTTTAAAAATGTATGTATCTAAATTAAAGCTATATTAACAAAAAATTTGTTATTATAAATTGATACTGCAGTTTCTATAAATTTAGAGAATTTATAAGAATTTATTTCATAAGACTTATTTTCACTTGCCACATATTGTTAAAATATGAAGATAATTCTCTCTATCTGTATGCTTTATTATTAATATACTGAGCAATAATATCGAATGGAACCTGACTTTGTAAATTTTAATTATAATTTAATAATTTTATATAACAGTGTCATATTTGTTCTTGTTATAGGTATAAAGTTATTGTTAATCTCATTATTATTATTTCTTTAACACGAGGAGAAGATTATTATGAGATCCTTGGTATAAACAAGACTGCTGATCAGGATGATATCCGAAAAGCTTTTAAGAAGCTAGCTATCGTTTATCATCCTGACAAAAATAGCGTATGTGAATTAGAGTACAGTACACAGTATACCATTATTGTTTTTTCTGCTGTATTGTCAATAACGCTTTGGTATTTCCCAGGACGATCCAAATGCTCATGATAAGTTTGTCAAATTAACAACAGCCTATGAGACATTAAAGGACAGTGACTTAAGACATAAATATGATCTTTATGGAGAAGATGGTCTTAATAAATCTCATAAGAAACAAACTTATCATTCTTGGAATTATTATCAAAACAGTTTTATATACGATGATGACAAATATGTTATTAATTTGGGAAAAAATGATTATTGTGAGTATATAATAACTTTCTTTATGCTTGTCATTAAATATGAAATGAAATATATTAATATTAAATTGCTAAATATTAAAAATTAAGAACTAAATTGAATATTAATATTATGCATATGTATGTGTGTGCAGATGAAAGTGTTATTAACTCTCATTCAAGCTGGTTTGTAAATTTCTATTCTCCAATGTGCAGCCACTGTCATCACTTAGCACCGACTTGGAAGGAAGTTGCTAAGTTACTTGATGGCGTTGTAAAAATTGCAGCAGTTAATTGTGAATATAATTGGCAACTATGTCACCAAATAGGAATTCGTGCCTATCCTACGTTGCTCTATTTTCAAAAGGTATGCAAAGAGAGAAAGAGAGAGAGGGAGGGGGAGAGAGAGAGAGAGAGAGAGAGCTCAATTTCTCTTTAAAGAGTCTTAGACTCTGTACAATTTTTAGGAAATTATATATTTCTCCATAGTTTTAGATATTTCTATGGATGATATTTGTTGATTAAATCAACAAGAAATACTAATTTACCTTTTGTCTCAAAGAATTCACAGCACGGGGAGCATTACAGAGAAGAAAAAACACAGGAAGCCATCACACGTTTTGTATTAGACAGACTAAATATTCGTATACATGAATTAAGTGAATTTTATTTCAAGGAGTATTTAAGTGGCAAGATTGTAAAGAAAATGCCTGTGTTAATATTTATATGCGATGATCAACAGAATTATTTCACCTCCGATGAAAGGATTAAAGTAGCGGCTACATTTGTAAGCGTTATCATTTTTATAGAAATATGTTTTTACCATGATGTTGTGACTATTAGACATAATATTTTTTTTTCTTTTTTTTTTCCAGGACAAGCTGATTGATGTAAAAATGTTTACATGTAAGAATGATGAGTGTCATGATAAGATATCCTATGATACAAACGCTGTCTATTTACCAATATATAATAAATCTTTTTGGGAGCCTATATTCCTTGATGGCATATTTGATATAAATATATTAATAGAAAAACTCTTAGATCAATTGCCTGGTCCACAAGAGCTATCTGACAATGATTTTAAAGTAAAGTGTTTATTTGTTATACATATTTGTTATACATATTTGTACATTATTATTACTATAGTTACACGTATACATATATATAATTATATATAATATATATGTAATATTATGTTATATATTATATATAATTAATTAATTTATTATTATAGTTTTATAGTATTACTATTAATTTATGTATACAATTTTTTACTTTTAACACAATTAAGAGAAGATCATATCAGTTAAAACATATGTTGATGTCTAATATCATCTTTTTGTGACTCTTACAATCTTGATGGCATCAATACATTAAAATATTATTAGGCATCAACTAATATTTTCCGTTTCCTAATTTTGTTAAATATTTCTTGATCGATTTTGATTTACTTTAATTTTTATCGAAAGTATTCATTATGATTTACAGTATATTAGGAAAATAAAGTCCGACGTTACCTGGCTTATATGCTTTTACATTGGTGACATTGAAAATGTACGAGATTTGAATTTGCAAACGAAAAAGTTTTCACCCAGTGGTATTAAACTAGGTAGTTATTATTAATCCACATTAATAGATTCAATATATTAAATATAAAATTTTATTTATTTTATGAAATACTATCTTTCAGGTAAAATAAATTGTGGTAGAAACGGACAATTTTGTTCTAAATTGGGTGTAACACGATATCCAATTTGGGGCATGCTTAAACCGGGTGGAGCATTTGAATTTCATCACGGAAGTAATCTCAATAATGATATTATTAAATTTATGCAAATTAGTATGAAAACTACAAATGTTTGGGCTCTCTCTACAGAAGAAGCATTATCGATATTACAAAGGAGCAATGGTATTATGTAAACGTAAATCACATTTTTAACAGATTTCGTGATGCTAATTGTAGCAAAATATTACAGGAGATGAAGTATGGTTTCTAGATTGGTTTACACCATGGTGTCCACCTTGTATAGAGTTTCTGTCAGAACTTCGGAAAGCATCGTTAGAATTTGATACGTCAATAGTTCGTTTTGGCACTATTGATTGTACCGCTCACAATACATTATGTCATCAATACAACATACAATTTTATCCTACTGCTATGCTTATAAACGGTAGCAATACATATCAGTTCACATTATCAAAGACTGCTGCAAATGTTATGTATTTCATTAATGAAAAAAGAAACCCATCAGGTGAGAGATATATACCAATAATTTCTTTATCATATTTCCGCGTGTTTTTGTTATGTTTTTGTTATGTTTGATTGTTTGGTACAGTTATAGAGTTAACAACAAAAAATTTTCGTCAGAAATTGGGGAAGAAAAAGAATGATGTTATATGGATTGTTGATTATTTTGCTCCATGGTGTGGGCCGTGTCAAAGATTAGCACCTGAATGGTCAGCCGTTGCGAGATCGCTGAGCGCTTTATCTTTTGTAAATGTTGCCAGTGTAAATTGCGAGACTGAGGCTTCCTTATGCACATCCCAAGGAGTGCGGTCTTACCCCGATATTAGAATATATCCATTAGGAAGTGAGGGTTTAAACACAGTCGCGTAAGTCATTACACGTTTTGTATATGTTCAATTATGCATTCGTGTAAGTTACATAACAAATGTCTCAATATGCATTCATAATTCGTTTGTATTATTTACATTATAGTTTGTACAATGGGCAGCGAGATTCGTTATCTATGTTAACCTGGATAACAACATTCTTCCCAAAGAAAATCCCTGATTTAAATTTTTCTGACCTTCAAAAGCTATTGAACAGCAAGCATAATTTGATAATCTATTTTTCTTTACCAAATTGTCATCATTGTCAAAAGTTGCAACCTGAGTTTGCAATTGCTGCTCAGGTAAAAGTTACTTCATTATAAACAACAAATTTAACTTTTACAATCTATAATTCCTTTGATAGCCATATCGATTATAAAATCTTAATTTCAGTTGCTGGATAAAGTGAAATTTGGAAGGATTGATTGTTCCTTCTATATACATAAATGCGAACAACATATAAAACAAAGTATACAGGTACAATATATATCTTTTCCAACGCTAATATTATATAATTCTAAGGAAAAAAAACGAAGTAAGCACAATAGCGTCGAAATTGTTGCGAGAACGACTCAGAAAATCACGGATGAAATTTTAAATATTATTAATTCTCGGACAAAACATGACGAATTATAATAGACAAAATGCCTAATTGAATTTAAGGCTTTTATTTTGCAGTCATACATAAGGTGATTTCTTTCTTTCTTTGTAGTATTATCATTGCAGTCACACATAAATTCTTTTTTCACAATAACAAATAAATTTATTTTTTCGTATGTCATCACACAGACTTTGATAAATTGGGAAAATATATGATTGATTTTTTTCAGTATATGAGTTAATAATTAAATATATTTAATTATTAGTTACTCAATCACATCTGTTATAATATTCTGTATGTATAAAGCCCATTTTCATTAAAAATATAGGACATATGCAGATTGAAATATTTATTTATTTTACAGAATATATAATAGTGTATAATGTATATTTAACAAAAATTTATTATCAAACATACAAGTAATGGCATAGAAAAAACTAATTTATTTCAATACAAGAAAGAAAAAAACCATATAATTTCTTACATCTAGCATCATAATTTAACTTGCTGAATTGTTGCAACGAGGGAATAGAAATTGTTGACAAATTTTAATAATGTACTTATTTGTAAGCGATCTGTTGCTTGACTGCTACAACTAGTACTTGATTTATCCTGACATGTTCCATGCTTCCAAAGGGAACAAAGAAAAAATAAATTAGGTATATTTTTAGTCTTATTGTGATACTTGATGATACTTTATACATTTTATACATTTTGTATATATTATTATATATAATGTACATATAATTAATATTATATACGTATATAATAATATAATTAAATAAAATCTAGATCAACAAAACAATTTGGAATCTCAAGTATCAAATTAAAAGTTTAATCACATCAAAATTCTTTTCCAATACTTATCGGAGGTTCTGTTTGTACAGTAATAAACACGAATCATGAACTTTATTAACATGAGGTAAGTCAAAAGTCTTATTTTCTAATATTTTTAAGATGTTATTGAAAAATAAGTTTTAAAAACAAAAACATAATAGTGAAATTGTTGCAAGAATAACTGAGAAAAATCAAGGATGAAATTTTAGAAATTATTCTCTACACAAAATAAGTCTGTAATAGACAAAATGTCTAAATTGAATTTATTTTATTTTGATTTAAGTCATATATGATTTCTTTCTTTATAATATATGACTTTATCATTGCAGTAATGCATGCATTCTTTCTTCGTAATGTTTCTTCGAATAAATTAATTTTTTTTATATGTCATCAGACTTCAATATAAATTGGGAAAATATATGACGATTGGCTTTTTCAGTATGAGTTAATAATTAAGTAGACTTTATTATAGTTACTTAATCATCTATTATAATATCCTATGTTTACAAAGCTCATTTTCATTGAAAATGTAGAACATATGCAGATTGAAATATGCATTTATTTATTTTGCAGAATATATAATGTACAATATATATATATATCTAGCAAAAATCCATTATTAAACATGATGGCATAAGAAAAATTAATTTATTTCAATACAAGAAAGAAAAAATTCACATAATTTCTTGCATCTGGCATAATAATTTAATTTGCTGAATTGTTGCAACAAGGGAATAGAAGTCGTTAACAAATTTTAATAATGTACTTATCCGTAATTAATATATCGCTTGATCGCGACAACTGGCGCTTGCCGTTTATCCTGATATATTCCATGTTTTCTAAAGGAACAAAGAAAAAAACTAGACCAGATATACTTTGTCCTTTTGTGATATTTTTATACATGTTTTATGTACATAGTAATTAATAAAATATTTATGAATATAAATTAAATGAATATAAATTAAAATCTGAGAAATCTCAAGCATTAAATTAAAAATTCAATTCAAACAACAAAATTGTTTTTATATCTTTATCAGAGGTTCTATTTGTACAGAAAAAAACATGGATATTATGAACTTCATTTATTAACATGAGATAAACCAAAGTTCTTATTTTTTAATATTTCTAACATATTTTTAAATTATTAAAAAATAAGTTTTTACGGTTTTCTCTTTTTATAAATGCATTAACATTTAACTCGATGAAATCTAATGAGTTTCTAAAAATAGTGTCCATAAATATAATTGTTACACAAATATAAGAATTAATACAGAGATAAATATGCTATAAAAAACGCTGAACCATTACGATTCCGTGCGTGTTTGTTGTTGTGTTTAAATGCAATGTATCCAAATATTTTATATATAAAATATTTTATATTTTATACATGTAGATATTTAAAATTATTTGTATAGTTTGTTTCAAGATTTGTAAATATATAAATGAATAGAATATCGAATATCAAAGATGTTTAAACGTGCTGTGCTTCTTCTTTTTGTAAGTTTTTTTCTTTTCGTTTATTACATTAATATGTACTCAAATAGAAAATATAATTCATTTTTCCAACAGTGATAAATTTAAAGATGGAATGTGTTAAATGAAGAAAAGTAATGCAACAATGCATTTCCAGGCGTAACAAATATGCACTTTGAAACTGTTGACAGGTAAATTTAAGTTTACTTTATATATCATTTCTGAAAAACAATCTTGCTTTGATTACTTTTATCTTATATTATCATTTAATATAAATTTAAGATAAATACTCTTTCAAATAGAGTATAAGTAGTTTTTAATACAAATGTACTTTCTGATATCACATAAACTCGCGGCATGCGAAGGCAGTGCTAATAGAAAAATGCAATTGAGAATTAAATAAGTGATATTATAACTGTTTTTACGGCGTATATAATTAAAGGATAATAAATACATAACTTTCCTAACATCAATTTCTTTGAAACAGAAAAAAAGTTTTTTAATATTAAAAGTTTTAAAAATAAAATAAAAAAATTTTGTTAACTTTTTTATATTGCATATGTGTGATTTGTAACATTAAATCTCTGATCGATGTCGTAAAAGACGAAACCTCACAATTACAAACAAATCTAGCAAAATTCCATAATGTAATGAGTATACAAAGACTGCGTTAAATTAATTTAAACAAATTAACAATTTTAACTTAAAATAACATACATTGCATATTTCTATCTATTAGCAAATAATACAGCGAAAGAAATTATGTTTTTGTTAAAACTTTGAAACAGAATACTTTGGTCAAGATTAAGTTTTATTAGATCTTTTATTAGATTTTAAAGACAAAACATTCTAACTAATATACAAAAATGAAATAAATTCATTTAACATTTATAATAAAAATAAATTATTAGACTTTATTAGGTTTATTCTTTTTTTCAGAATATGCAAAATCTATGTTTTTTTAATCCAGTCTTATTTTTTTCTGTATTTTCATATCATTTATCTTCAATTTATCGTTTCTTATTGTATAGAATAGTGTTAAAAAATTTAGTTCAACTTTGGAAACATAATCTATTAACTATAATGTTAGAAAATAAGTTTATTAATTTTGATAATTTATATTATTTCGTCGTTAGATTTTTTTTTCTAAAAGTATTTTCAGAAATTTGAATGTCATATAAATTTATTGTATGCCGAGAATATGTTTCTAAAGTTAAAATGTACTTCTCAGTAACAATAATGCGTACAACTTTTAAAAATGTGTATAACTTTTAAAAAAATCTATTTGTTTTTCTTAATATATGACAGTATCTCTTATTCATTAATTAGCGACATTTCGTAATTCAGAACACATACATACATATAAAAGAATTTTAAAGTTATAAAGCATAAATATAATAAGATTTTTGTGTCGATGTAACAACTTGATATCTTAAAAAAAAAAACAAATCTTCTGAAATTATATACTATTGTGTCAATGTAAGTATCGCATACTATGTGTATAGTTTTGTATGTAATTTCATACATGTAATTTCTATACATTTCGGAAAAATATATTGTGTTTGAAAGATCATATATCCTTATAAATGTTAATTGTTGATTAATATTGCACTAACTTTTAAAAGATTGCAAATATATATATATATATTTTCTGACGTTGATACATTATTAATATAATATAGTATACACATAATATGATACAGATGATTGTAAAAGTATAATTTTATAATTCTCGAACCTGTAAATTGCTGGCAGTAGCACACGACTAATAAGTCGTGTTAATATCCACCGTCTCGTGGTTCCAAATGTATGTTAATCAATTGAGAACCATGGATAAATTATAATTTGTATTATAATACAAAAAATGTATATTATGTGTCACGTTTCGACGGCGGTATTAAATGTTCTGGTAGTTCAGCCGGTAAATCGTATCCTTCGAGCTTTATATTAATTAGATGCATAGCTAAGGCAAATTCGTCAGAGTCTAAGAATCCATCTTTATTAATGTCTGAAAGTTTCCAAATCTTTCCAAGCACACTGTTTGGCAATTTGGACTTGACCATTTCTGATTTGGCCGCTAGTAATATAAAGTTATACATAATTAGAATATTTTATTTCAAATTGCCACACTTATATAAATATTGCATATTTATATAAAAATGTTTATATAAATCCTCCTAATTATAGCAGCAAAAAAATGCAGAGCTATATAAGTAAAAGCAATTATCGTCTCTATAAACTTATCAGTCATACCTGCTCCCGTAATTTTTCCATCTTGTGGTCCAAGTGATTCAAAGATGCTATCATATTTATATCTTTCTTTATTGACAATCCATTCTGGTTCACCTGCACCCGCATCAATTCCTTCTCCTCTTTTATATCCAAATGGACTAACTTGATCTTTTACACCTTCAAATGCTCCTCCTAAAATTGAGATATATACAATTTTTTCTATAAATTTAGAATATGTAAATACCATATTGTATATATTTTCTTGTATTAATTTTTTAATCAATTAAATTTAACTTTTAGCAAAAATTTTATGGAAGATTCAAACAATTTTTTGGAAGTATTTTGATTCAAGATTTACTAAGATTTTAATGTAAACAAATATTGACCTGTAAGTGTTTCTGAAACGGTAGTAACTTCTTCATGTGGTATCATAGCCATAAGCTTCGCGATATCTTCAGCAAGCATTTTATCCACTACTTCTAATAACTTAGGCTTCAGGGGATTAAATTTATTAAAATCGTGATGTGCTAAACTCTCTTGCATCTTCTTTAGATCCGGAAAATCACCAGGTGAAATCTTTTGCTCCCTTTGAATTTGATCATAAGTCTGGCCCAAATTTTTTATCAGTTCTTTTTTTTTAGTATCCTTACCAAACATACTGGGCATATCTTTCCGCAAGGCGCTTATTATGTACGCGTGTACCTATGAATTTTTGATAAATTTTGATGAATTTTATTGATGTAGGAAACATTAGAGTCTTATCATGTATATCTAGTTTAAGACTTTAAACTGGAGAAAGAAATTAATTCTTTGTTTCATATACCTTTGCTAAGCGAGCTCGTTTAATTAAATCATTAAGTTTTCTTAATGCAGCATTTCTTGGAAGCGATTGCATATCTCTGAATAAATCTTGTTCTTCATCTTCAAATAGTCTAAAAAAAGATTCACAAGACTTTTAAATATTAATACAAATAATTATATAATAAAAATAAACTAGAAGGTACACAAGCACTTACCTTCTATTAACATCATATCTTAAGGGCTGATCCCAAAACGAGCCAATATATACTCTAGCTACTTCTGGAGTTTGTAATACCTTTCCTAACGACCACATTAGAGCACCATACACTCTCATGAGCTGTTGATGATCTATCATGTCAGCTTTATTAAGAACAATTCTAATTTTATCATCATGTCCACGTAAGGCCTCGATAGATCTGCGGAATTCATCTGAGATATCGAGTTTATGAGCATCAAACAATAAGATAATCCTATCTACGCGTTCAGCGAACCATTCTAAAACACCAGTAAAGTCATAGCCTCTGTCAACCTGAAGGAAATATTTAATATTCAAGATATACATTTATCATCACAAATACATATATATCTTAATATGTAAAAACAGAGCTACAAAAACAATACCTACTCTTTGTTTTTCACCAGATAATATACCAGGTGTATCTACTATAGATATGCCTTTCAAAACAGGCGACGCTACAGTCGAACACTGAAATCTGTTCAAGAATGCATTGCCGAACTTTGAAAGTGGCCTGAACTGTTTATTTGGATCTACGACCAAAGCATTTCCAGGAATGACTCCTTCCTTTTCATCGTACATGACAGCAATAAATCGATCCGTAGTAGGCTCTGGTCCGATTCTGATACCAGGAAATTCTCTTTCTAACAGATATTTGATAAATGTGGTTTTGCCAGTGGAATATTGTCCAACTAGGAGAATCATAGGTTTTGCATCAAAGTCAGGATCATCCAGTTGTGGCGAATGAAAGTCATGGAACTGGTAATACTGTTCCAATGGTAATAACTTTGATTTGTATATCCTCTTAAGGCCTTCGGTAACATTTTCGAAGAGATCTTGCTTGCTATTCTCCTCACGACTCAGCCAGCTAAACATGTTGACAATCTGCAACAAATTAAGTTCTATATTCTTGCTAATGAACTTGTTATCATGTATATTCGTGTACAGTCTGAATTCCAAAGACTTGTCGCATTAGCATTAAGTAACACCGTGTCCTGTTAATTATGTTTCCTTTGTTTGAGCTATTGTAAGTACGGATTGACTCATTGTCAGACTACAATTCTAGACCAATCGTTCCGGACTGATGCAAAACGGCCTAGAAAGGTTAAGGTTATCACAACAATTATATCAGACTATATTCCGCCTCCAAATTCCACGCTTATGCCTTCGAGTCGTGTCTTTCAAGGTAGACTGAAGATAGAAAAGACTGAAAGGATATTGGGTAGAACATTTGTATCTGTTCTTCTGAAAACTCGGTCATGCTTTGTTCTAGAAAGCAACTCGGCACCTTCTTTTCCGATATCCTATCCAGCACCTCCTCCTTCCCTTCAAGGAATAGTTGAGATCTCAAATATTTGAAATGTGCAACGCAGAGTGAAGTGCAAAAATGTAAATGAGTGAAAAGGAACACGTGGACGAGGTCTAAGTAGAGGAAGAGAGAGAGGGAGAAAGGGGAATCCAGAGAGCACCATCGAACACCAACCTTTGCTCGTATCCGTCGGTCAAGGATGAACGGGTGCGCTTGACAGAGCGCGACGGACGCGAGGGCGAGCGCGGACTAACGGGAGAGCCGAGAGCCGGTGGAAGGCAACGCTCGGTCGACCAAGACGATCCAAGGTGGTCCGCTGCCGACGTGACGTATACACGACTCAAACCGATCGCGGAAGAGTACGCTGAGAACGAGCGATACGGACTTCCGGAACGGAGATGGTGGTGGTGGTGGTGGTGGTGGCGGTGGTGACGGCGGCAACGTCAGTGGTGATGGTGGTGGACGTGGGTGGACGTGGTGGTTGCTTGGATTTCTGCCACGATGCTCACCGATCGCCAGCGGTGACGTAAACAGTAATGTAACTGGTGGAAGGCGCGTCGCGCTGCGCGAGCAGCTCGGGAAAACGAGCGATCGCGAGGCGGAGCCGTGCCCGATAAACGGGACTGATATGGAACGTACTCTTGGAGAAGATAAACGATGCACGACCGATGGCTCAGAACGACGGCACGACTCTGCGACAACTGACAGGTTGTCGACAGCAACCACTGTACGACATTCAGCATTGGGCTCAGTACGCTCAGTGCCGACAACTGACAATTGTCAAAGCGCAAACGAGAAGAGGGGTGAGGGAGGAGGGTTGCTGACTAATAGGACATACCCAGGAGTTCGTACATTATGAATCGTTTTCATAATGCTATGTTAGCTAAATGAACAGTTAAATTAGCAATCAACTAAGTAATAAGAATTTATTCTTATTACTATATGAGAATAAATTAATTAATATATTACTACTAATAATATATTATTATTAATTATTATTACTATATGAATAAATAAATAAATTAACACGACTGATGAGTTTATTGAATAGAAATATCAATAAATATTATACTGATTTTTTTAATGAATATACACACACTTAAATTATTTCCCGTTAAACACAAACTAACAGTACATTACATCAACATTATAATTTCCTATTTAACTTACAATTTAATATAACTGTAACATAACACATGTTGTACATATATAACAGTTTACATTATTATTGCTAAGTAGGAAACTATAACATTGATGTGTAATAATGTTACTGTTAGCTTGTGCTCGAGTTAGGAATAACTTTGGGCACTGTGCATAACGAAAGATATATTAAAAATAGGAATAAGTATTAATAAATAGATAATAAATATTAAATATTATATACAAATCAAATTAGGAGTAGAGATCGAATTTAAATCACAATAGATACAAATAAGATATAATGTGTGTCTTCATGTTTGTATCCACTGTGTGTTACTTTTAATCTCTATTTCTAATTTTTTATTTCTCTAATATTTAATATTTATTCCATTATTTATTTTTTTTTATTTTTTTCTTTATAAAAAAAATTTTCTATTTCCTAATATTTTCTTCATTGTGCGCAAGATTTTAAGATTCAAATGAAAAGCATAAGGAATAAAAACAGAGAGTAATATAACATATATAACATACTCATCAGAAATTGCTGTATATTGTAATACACAATTTTTAATAGGTCTAATCTAGGTCTAATCTATTGTCTGCGTGTTATTCTTTGTTCCTTATTCTTTTCATTGTGCCCTCAATAATACGAATAAATGAACGAGTGAATTCATTAATTAATGGATCTTTGTAGCAGAGAATATATATACTCGTTATACACTTAAAATGAAATAGATAGATATATATTTGAAGTTTGGCGAAAAGAGAAAGAAAATGTCAGTGACAAAGAATAAATCTAATTAATATAGCTGAGTTTAAAATTAATTGAACAAAGGAAAATGAGGAGAGTGGACCGATATTCAGTCAGTTCTTATTTTAAGATTGCGTTAAGTACAATCTTAAGACGTTATAAACTAATCATAGCGAGCCATGTTAGTATCTTTAAGATATTATTTAAGATGATCTTAAAATAAGAAATGATTATTAATATCGGCCTGGAATGCGGAAATCGGCTTGGAAATCTTAATTACGGATTAATTTTTACGATTTAAAGTTTTATTTTCAATCTTGAGAGAACAAGGCTTAAGACTAACTTGAAATTAGTTGCTAAACGCATTCAGTTGTCGAAGTACGAGTTACGTGCGCAAGTTCAGGTCGATGACGGGATCGATAGTTTCATAATTCGTGATCGAACGCGCGTGCTTTATCGGATGTGTCTCTTCGTTCTTCATGTCGGGAACAAACGGAAAATGACATATACAAAAACAATTGGAATTACGCGAAGAGGGAATACGAGATGTCGCGTTCTTAATCTCCATTACCTATTTTCTTTCTTATTCTATTTTTGCTATCAAACGCGACGCGCTTGCTTGTGAGATTTCGGCTTGTGAGAGTCCGACCGATTATATCTCTCTCCGCAGAGTTTTCCGCTTTCAGACTTCCACGATTCTTTATTACACTTTGCAATTTTCATTGCGAAACTAAATTAAAGCATTCGCGTGGTATTTCTGGCATTCCCGCATCTTGAATTGCATTTCATCGCATTCGTTCCCGCGCGAAGTTGGGCACTCTCGGTTCCGGCACGAAGTTGTCGAGTTCGGTTCCTACGATTATTTTTCAAATTTCGTTGTTTCGCAGTTCTAAGAAAGTTGTCGGCGCGATGTTTTTCGACTAGTTGCCAAGTTTAATGGAAAAAAACATGCGTAACGTGGTCAGTTCGCGAAAGTTTCTCATTTTCGTCGTTAATCAATGCGAGGGATGCCGAGGAAAGCGAGGGATGCCGAGAAAAGCGAGGATACATCGAGGTACGGTAAATATCATTCTTAATCAAGGGTTAGAATAAAAGAATAAAAGATGTAGAAGATTAATCGAAATCTATTTATTCTTCGAAGTATGTATAATAAATATAAAATATTATTACGCACGATAAACAAAAATTAATAATTTATATTAATATTATATTAAATATAAAATCTTTTAATATATTGATCGTTTTGTGCTCAAAACGATGCTTTTAAAGCACATCAAATAAATAATGTTTCCTCTCTTAATTCCTGTATATCCTCTTCATTTTCATTTTCATGCATTAACGAAGCTCTATTCCATTAATAAATGAAGCTCTCATATTTTTCTTTATTATATCGTAGCCATTAAAGCATATCTTATTGTGCTAGAAATTGTTAAAGATTAAGAAAACGATAATGGCAAGAATTAATAGCTTCATATGCGAGGAAATTTTATGAAAATGTATTGAATAATTTAAAAATCAACTTATTATTTTAATTATTACTTTAGTTATTTATTTAATGATTATTTATTTAATTATTACTTTAGTCATTTATTTAATGATTTCTTTAATGATTAATTCATTACTGTTTTCTTTTATTAAATGAATATAAATACTTTGAATATAAATAATTGCACAATAAATCATTAAAACGGAGAAACGTTTAGCAGATGTCTATTGCTACCCATGTAATCGTTTTCCTTACATTTACTAATGAGAAAAGAGATCTGCAGAATCGGAAAAATATAGGATATACCACTTCATTAGGATTTCCTTTTATGAACAATTATTATTACTTTATTCGTTTATTTTATCGGTTTATTTAAATCCTCACTTATTACTGTTTTTCCTTTAAGTTGAAATGTAAATGATTGCATAACAAATCAGTAAAACAAAGAAACATTTAGCAGGTATTTATTGCTACCTACGCGGGAATTTTCCTCACTTTTGCTAATGAGAAAAAAGATTTACGAAATCGGGAAAATATAGGATATCCCAGATCACTAGGATTTCCTCCTACGAACAGTAAATTATGTAATGCTGTAATGGTAACAAATGAATGACATAACGGAGGCGTAATGTTAACAATATGTGGCCATGTCAAGAGAGACAATCAATAACTGTGACCTTGTCTCATGCAAGATCGATCGAATCACGAAACATTGAATCGCTAGCAATGCAGTGGATTCGCGCGAATAAAACTTAAATCGTTAAATAATGAGTCATGAAAAATGATAAGCACGAGCTAAGCTTCTGTCTTATCTTTTCTGTTAAATGCATAGCATTGAGTTAGCCACAATTTCCTTGATTCTGATTGACATAAAAAACGGAATATTGCGGAGGCAGCAATCAAATTAACAACGCGATATCTGTAGCTTAGAAAAAAATTATGCAAGGCAATATCTGTAACTTATAAAAAGATTATAATTGATAGCGATCTTACCTGATCTAATTTCGCATATCGGCCGAAATATTATATTGAATTAATATCCGCCGCTACAATGTTTAATTATTTCGTTGTAACTTAAATTATTTTTTTTTATTTATTGGAAAAAAAATCATTTTTACCTTTTTTTTTTGCAATAATCCACGGACAGAAAAAGTTAATTAAAATCATATCATGACAAAGCGTTTCATTCAATTTATCCGTAAGTAGAACACGCATTGAGATCAGAGGTGTATCTCCCTATTGCATCGAGCGCGACTGTTTAATTGCTAATTGCTCACGCACTATTCGGTACAACAGACAATAGTTCACGCCAATAATCGTACATGATATTACGCAATGATATGCAAAACGGGACCAGTGTCAGTCGTTGCATAAGCAAAATGGGCACATCCCAGTTAAACGATTTCGTGTCCATTTATTCGTCTTAACAAGCTTCGCTTGAATTACAACTGATTTGCAGGGATACTGGCAATGAGTTGTTACGTGCACATTGTGCACTCGACCGCAGACATTCGTAGTCTCCCTAAGGAGCAGAATGCGGATATCCTTAGCAATGCAATGTTGAGTTTTGAAAAATTCAGCAAGTTTATTCAGCGAGTTTATCAACTTTTATTTTTAATAATTTGTTCATAACACTTTCATATTTTTGTCATATAAATCTGTATTTTATTTTAGTAAAATTTCTTAAAAGATCTCAAAAGTTATATTCTTATTTCTTTTAAATTCTTCTAATATAATATATAATCTCTGTTCACTATTTAAATCTAAGAATTGAAATCTAATTCGATTTTTTTTTAATATCTGGAAACAGCAATCGCGAGTGAAAAATAAACAAAGATATTTCGATAAATAATATAACCAAATTATAATTTATTAAATCATAATTTAATAAAAAAGTAACTGACAATGTTTTTTGGCGATTCAAAATGTAATTTTATATTGAAAAGTACAGACGACATAATAATGGAAATTAACTTTCTTGGGAAAATATTTTCTTAAAGAATGATTGAGAAGTTTCTTTTATAACTTCTTGCATTAAAAATTTTTATCTTATACTTAGCTCGATATAGATATTACTGAAATGATATTCTTATCATTTATCAGAATTGCATAAGGTACTGACGATCCTATTTCTGTTACTAATAACAGTTTTGACGATTATCTGCAATAAGATGTCAGAGGCGCCTTCTGTGCTAAATTTTTTGTACTGTACATCCGACAAATAATTTACTGAAGCAATATGAGCAATTTTTAATTACACTTGCTTAAATTTTATTTTTACAGAATTCGCAGATGGAGTCATCCATCGATGAATTCTTCGTATACACGCAGATGAAAAAAGAAGTACGTATTCGAACAATGACATTGTTTTATTAGTGGTATCAACGTTAGTAAGTACAATAAAATTTTCACCTTATTGCGAAAACTGCTAGTTTTCTTTCTATCTTACAATTAGTTATACATATATTATTTTAATATTTATTATATATCGCTATCATTTTGTGATAATATTAGAAGTGTATCTCAGATTCCTCAATTGCTAACATTGTGTGTGACAATTACGAGATTAATAATTACAAGTATAAATTTAACTAGTCCTATACTTAAATTAATAAGTATTGATCTCGGAATTACATATATTTCATGTAACACATACTAAATGATTAGCACTAATGAGTGCATCGGGAGAAACGCTATTAGCGCTGTATGTGTCATTCTATGTTTATCGTTCATTTCGTAAAACAAGGATAGAATATCATAAATAATGCTAATAGCTTCTCTTCCGAACGCATGCTCTTATTTCACTTTGTATATGCAATTTCGTGAAGGTACAAATTTAATTTCATAATAAAGTACAATTGTAAACATATTGTAAATTATTATCTAAAACTCAGTGATTTTTTAAATAAAAAGAAAACTTAGCAAGATCTTATTTGAAAAATATAATTTATAATGAGACCAGCAATGAGAGTACAGCGTGGTACTTTATGCGTAAAAGTTCATATGAATATTTCGGACTTAAAATGTGCAATCATGTTGAACAGGTTAAGAAACATAATTGTAAACTGATTCGCTCGTATTTTATTACATTTTATCTGTTTACTTTTCCTTATATAACTGCAAATTTTTATTTTATTTCTGAAGGAACTTGTATTTTTAATCTCTTTTGGTTCTTTAATTAAGCTATACATTTGCTCTTTCGATTTAAATGGCATCGGAGTAATGACTATATCTCTATCCAAGAGCGTGAGATTTAAAAAATTTTTAAAAGAAGAATTTTCGCTAAGGACAGCTCGAAATGTAATAGAAATGTTTGTATCGTTTAACGTAAATATGAAATATGTATGAATTTTTACGTCGTACTCTCATCAATGGATTCACATTTTACATTCTGCGTCCCAATCGTCCGGAATCACTTCGTGCAACATTTGCTTCAGGTTTTGCAATAGGCAAGGACTCGCGCAGTTAGGAATTTCCAAACGATGCGCGTTGTCCGTTTCCGTATTATTCAAATATAGTGCCTTTGATAACAAATAGAGAAAAGAATAAATTAGTTTATTATATAATTATTTTATAATTTATAAATCACTAGAATAGTAATCGTAGGAGGTATAAAAGTATTTATTAGATAATATGCATGTAATATATTAGTATGCAAATAGGAAATATTTCAGGAATTCCGGATGAATCTCAGCAATTATGCAGAACCGCTAATGTTATCATTAATTGTTATCATTAATTAATTAAATCGATTACGCATTATTTCCGGTAATATATAAAATTATTTCCTGTAATATCTGTTATAATGTTCAATAATGACGTAACAAAATACTTAGATGGAATTTACAGCGTGTTAAAGTTTTCTATATGTGAAACAATTTCTGATTATAAAAATATTCATAGCTGTATCATAAAATTTTACGATAATGATACTACGATAACTATCCATACCTTTACTTCTTGGTCGGTTCCATTATTGACGAAGTGTAGCTCCAATATGATCATCGCTCCGTAATCTGGTTTAAGAAGCTTCGTGAATCCCATTGTCCTCATCACGTTAACGATAGTTATGTCGTGACCGGAATAAAAATAAGATCGTTTCGATTTAGCTTTACTCTCTTCCATGTGATATAAAATCTCTTTTAGTAGCGGGCCTGCAAATAGTGATAATATAATTTTCAAAACAAGATTTTGTAATATAATTTAAAAGGTACAGCGATATTTATCGCTGTAGAGATATCGTCATACCTCCACGAAGACGCTTTTGAATAGTGCCCTCGGTGAAGATTGCGAGGCTACGAGCGGCTATTTCGCGCATCTCGTCGTTGTAAAAATTCTGCGTCCATGCTGGAAGCTGTAAATTGTGTTGCTCTTCGATCTGGAGGGTGTTGTAAAGAAACTCGATATTGGTGAGCGTCATATTCTGTCCAGTGTGCTGCGTTAGTTCCTTATAATACTTGGCCATTTTCTTACCCGATTTTTTGTCTTCCTCTATATACGCCTGTTTTAGAGCCGCTTCTAGCTTTGGACATGGTGCCTTCATCACAATCAGCTATAACAATATCACTATTGAAAAATAAGCTTCTTTATAGACTTTTATGTTTTTAACAAGTAATTTATCATTTGTTTAATTTTCTGTCGGCCAAATTGGACTTTGAAATCATAATCGATATATTGATTATGAATTTTGGTTATAAATTTAAATCTGTAAAAAATAAGTAAAACAATTCAACTTCCATGATAAAAACTCGTTAAACTTTTCATGAGTAGACAAGAATTTTTTCAGATTTTTATATCTGGAATAATTTGTCCTAATGCTCAAAACCTCAAGTTGCTAACGGGAGATACAAATATTTGACATAGTCAACGAGTTAAAATTACAAATATATCTTCTTATCATATTGTACTATTTTAATTCGAGTGTTTTTGCAACGTAAAATGAAATTTTATGCATAAAATTTGATGTTTATACGCAGATTATAAATATACGCAATTAATTAACTTGTTGCAATCTTAAGGTTACAAATTACGTGTTTTTGTTTGAACAATAATGAATATTAAAAAAAGAGAACTTTTAAAACAAGGAGATAGTGAATAGGACTTCGTATAAAATTTTAAACTGTAAAAAAAATTTTTTTTATTTAACATTATAAATTAGATTTTGTATTATACCTTGTCCAATTCCCGTGGTATCGAGTGTACAGGAATAGGAGTCCATGTCAAACCAGGCACGAATATGTCCTCGGGACTTGGTGTGAACAATCCAGCGAGTAATGCCAGTGCCGACATGATGCACCGATCCCTGTAGCTGCTACGTATCAGCGTGGCTGTGCTCTCGAATTTATGACCGATTATAGGGCCGTATTTTAAGCGTATCCACTGACCCAAGTTATACAGTTGACGCATTCCTTTCTGAAAGTGGATTTCGAGATTAATAACGTTGTGCATTATTCATGCTCGATCACGCGTTTTACAATCGCAATGCATGTTGTGCAAGGATGTGATTTTATTTATAGCAAGTCTGAACATATATTATCGTATTATATACGGTAATATCGATTCATCAGAATCTGTGCGTATTTTGTTCGAACCTTGGTCAAAGAGCCCCAGCCACCAGGCCAATTGTAATTTATATAAGGATCTTTAGGATAGGTCTCTGTAGGAGTTCGATCGCCATGACGAAAGAGCTGTCAACAAATAATGATAATTTCTGTATGAGAGAAAAATACTATTCATTTAACACATAAATCCATCGCGCTTTTCCTCATTTAATAAATTCCTTGATTAAAATTCCTGAAGCAGAATTCGTTTAAATGCTATTTAAAAAAAATTAAAGTAACGTTACAGATACTTTTAATACACTAAAAAAGAAATCTGGTAATAGCTACTAAACGTATCTCGTTTAGCACACATATTGATGAAATATTTAGTTAAATTATTATTAAGTTTGATTAATACTATTATTACCAAATACATAATTATAATTAATTATAGAGGTAATAATAATTAAGAGTAAATAATAATTAAGATAATATTTAGAAAAATAAAAGCAGTGTTTAGTTTCGATTACATTAACCAAATATTTAATTGAAATTATTTTATCATGAAGTGATTAAACATCTCGTAAAATTGTGAAATGAATTAACAGATTCAAGTTTCATTAAATGTAAACATTAAATCAACACGTTAATGACAGAAGCGGGATGACAGACCAACTGTTACAAACGAGCTACTCACAAAAACCACCTGCTGCAACGTTTCACGTTCGGTAACCGGAGATGCAAACGCCGTGTACGCTAACAGCATACACGCGATGAAGGTTCCAAGTATAACTACGCTTACGCCAAGCTTTCGGATACGACAATTACCCATCAAGGTTCGTCCTTTGGCCCGATCCATTTGGCCTAATTACACGTTTCCTGTAGCAATCTCAAGTAACTTCTCCAATCGTAGACTAGATGGTAAACGAGAGCTTGTTAGCGGTTAGCGCAATGAGTCCGGTACAAATCTATAGTTATTTAGCAGCTTCCTTGTGTAAAATAAGTTAGTATGTACATATATAAAGTTACTTTACGCGATTTAGAACCAGTTGCTTTGTTTATCTCAACATTGGAATTATCTCTTCAGTTAGTGAATCATTATTTTAGCAAAACAGAAATTTATTAGATTATACAGATCTAACAATAACCATAAATTAAAGAAATAAAAACGATACACGAAGAGAAAAATTTGCTATGAACGCTAATCCTATGCCATAATAGCAAATTTCATTTGCAAATATAGGGATCGCAAATTATTTGTAGGTCTTACAAATATTTATTTTTTTTTGTACTCATTACAAAAATTATTTGCAACAAATGCAAAATATTTGTCAAATATGCAAATTTCTTTGTTATAAACAGCACACAAATTTGATAATTAAATTTTGCAATCCTTCTGTATTCATAGCAAAATTATTTTTCTCCGTGTAGGAAGAAATAAAAATGTGATAATCTTTTCACATTTTTAAAGTTCGATATCCATATTTGAAACTGATCTAAATTACAAAATTATGTATTTCTTAAAAATGCAATTAGAAAATCTTCTTTTCCTTTATTATGTGACAAATATTTAAAAAAAATATTTGTCTCCTACATTTAAATCAAAGAAGCCATTAAGCCAAAGATAACTTATTTTTGTAAAATAAGTATTCACTGGTTTATCCGGCTTTGAAACAAATGATTCATTGAATTCAATTACGTCGAAAAGTTTCTCCAAATATTTGTTAGAAACTCTCTATCAGATAAAGAATACCGGTGCGCTTATCGCAGACTTCTTCATTATCTATCATTACCTCTGCACGTGGGACGTCGTTCGACTACGTCAGCACTAAAAACTACCGTGGTCGATACGGCACTGTGATCGCTACAGCACGTCGTGCGGTATCCTCTTGGCGTATGTGAAGCGCGCGGAGGGAGATGTGAGATGCGTGACGTGCATGAATGTCACACGAAATTGCACGTACTCGTGATTTGTAATCCGAAACGTGCAACAATCGGTCGAACTCGCGGACGCAAATTCGATAACACACACTCTGTTATTATTGCTGCTGCGAACCACAGAATCGTCCGCGGATGAGAGCCGACACGCGTTCACTTCACGTCTCTTCTTTCCAGCATGCTTTTCCTCGCGCTGTACATGGCTGAAAGATCGACCGTGAAGACATATATATATGTGCGTGTGTATTCGTGTGTCATACTTACGTAAATTTCATATAAATGCGCTTCTGGCTTTCAGTTGCTTCTTGATTATGGAGCGATATGTTGTTTTCTTTTCGTTATAAAGTGACTTTATTCGATAACTATGTGATGTTTGAAGTTGATCAAGCGATATCGTTAATGTGTTAGTGGTCTGTTAGTGACCTTTATCTCTAGTAAGGAGTTGATAAATGTTTGACAACATTACAATGGTTACAACATTATTAATGGTTTTAAGGGCAATAAGATAACCGCGTATTTTTGGAGTATTCTTTGAAAATGATAAATAATTATTCTAAATAGTTTCAGAATAATATATATATTTTTTTTATGAATATTATTCTAAATAGTTTCAGAATAATACATTTTTTTATTTTGTCAAGCCATTTGTTAGTTCAAAAGCTATATTGTTTATTTGTTGAAAAACTAGTATTAATATTCTTGAAATTTAATTTTTAAAATAAACTATTTTTTTTATTTTGTGACCTTTGTAATTATTTACTCATATTTGATCTCTCTGTTACTTTCATTGCTTAGCAATTTTGAGCTTGAAAATTGATATTGCACTTTTGAGAGCACGTAGCAAAAAACTTTTAACACATTCTATTAAAAGTACTCAAAATGTTCTCAAATGATTTTATATTTCTTATACATAATTTTTTACGAAACAGTCAAGAACAGAACGTTAACGTTTTTTTGTACTAAAAAACTATTTCACTGTCAGCAATTTATAATACTACAGGAATATGTCTTCTCCGTATCGTGTGTTTTTTTTGTACTTTGTATTGTGCGTCCCCCACTTTCAAATTTAGTGATAAAGAGAAACAGACTATATTTAACATTAGACACAAAGAAAATACGGAATATGTTATCGAAATAAACATACGCGCATGGCTGGGTTAAAGTAACTTTTATTTACGATCAGTTTTTACTAGAGGCGCAATAAATTTTTTTTATGATACACAGAAATAACGCAGGTCGACTTCACGCGCTTCGTTTTGGATTTCGGTGATAACCAAATAACAGGATTTCGCGATTAAGCGAACAAATCGCTTCGTCCGTGCAGGGCACACATTTATTTCTGAAATGGTAGGTAATTTATCTGTGAAACGAGATCCGCATACGTCACTCAAAATAAATGATATCATACGTCACGTATTGGAGCAACAGGAGTTATGTTGCAAAATAATCGTAACAATACGACAAATGTTATCATATATTTATAACAATACTAGGATTCATTTTTTTGTAACTATTAATTAATAGTCGCTTAATTAACATTATCTTGTAGATTATTTTAATGACGTATGTTAATACTTTTTCAATCGAAAAGTAATCTAAATCTTGGAGTAATCATAATTATCTCTATATCGAACATTGTTCTGTTGTTATATAATTTTACATTGTTAAAGAAGTACAATCTGACAACCTCGTGTAATATACTTGACTCCAAGTCTTCTCAATTATATCATTTGTCATCGAATGCGATTAACGGAACCGGTATCGATATTTACTGTGCACTTTGGTTACCACCTGTTGACAGGAATGCACAAGCTAAATGTCAGAATAGATGCCGTTTAGTTTAAATAAAACTTTAAATTTCGTTAATAATTGAATTGTTCGTAGCGTTTGAAATTGTAAAAGTCTGTTAATGTATTATTGAAAAACGCTCACTATAAAAGTAAATCCAGCTAGAAAATGATTGGTCGATCGATGTTGAATCAGCATCGATTCGATGTTGAGCGATCAATTATCTCTGGCTAAAAAGGATTTTACTATTTTAAATATAATTTATTGGAAATTTGATTACATATAATCGAATTCGTAAAGTCATACACAACATTCGACATTTGTTTCCTCGATATGATTTATAATGCAATAATATGTCGAAAAGAGCATCGAACTGCTTTTTCTTCCTTTTTTTTTATTTTAAAACAAATCGGACATTTTTTTTGCGCATCCCTGATCTACGGACTAATTCTAAGTCTATAACATGAAAGAGGAACGAAGTTTTATTATCTCTACGTCGTATTTTCATATGTTTATATTTTATGCAAGCGCATGTGCATCCGGTGCACGTTGCGTATTACATAAGATGTAGATAGACGTTGGAGCTAGTAAAACAAAGTGACCTAAGTAGCAGGGTCCTCAAATCGTTTCGCACGACACGTCGAAGTGCTGTAAAACGTTCGATACGCATAAAATTAAAAAATACGATCGTCCGAAGCCACCGAAGTTTCTTACGCAACTCTAGCTGACCGACGAAATCAGATTTGCTGATGAGAAATTCGCACACGTGTATTTGCTTTGTCGTCAGCGCAAACGAAATTTGAGAACGCCTGACCTAACGAACGCAACATCGATTATGATTATTATAGTAAGTACGACGAGTCGTTTTTTTTTACAAGAGAGATACTAGAATATCAGAGAAGGAAAGAGATCGAAAGACGAAGGAGTGCAAAGAATCGTACAGTACGTCGTTTGATATGAAAGCTTAACAAAGTGAGCGTTCAGAAGTTGCGGGAGAAAAATTATTCCACGCACGTAAAGGATTAAGGAAAAATTCTCTCTCGCACGCAGTTCTTGTTCGGGGGAGGAACTCGTCGCGGTATATGATTTCAATTGCAGATAGTAATATTTAGAACAAATGCAGCCCGGAAGTGGAGCATCATCGATTCGCGGAGGCGCGACTCGAAGGAACCCTTTTGTTGAATCAGCAAAATGCTACGTCTATTTACTTCGTTTATTTTACGGCAGGAATAAAGTTGCTAATTCATACGCGGCTCATGCATAACAATAAATATAGCAAAAGAATAAAATGCAATAGCGATATCTGGCGAGAATATCTTTACGGTACTTGCGAATTTTTTTTTCTTTATTTGTTGAAAGGAGGAAAGAAATATTTAATCGTAAAAGCAAGTCGAGCGATCTACCGTATAAAATTAAGTTATAAAATTGAGATAGTTGAGTTATAAGAGATCTGGATGTTTTTTTTTTAATAAAAAGAAAAAATCCGCGAGTGAACGGAAACCCCTAATCTAATCTGAATTAGTCTATAAAATTTTTAGAAAAGCTTTGGAATTTATTATTAATTACTTCTTAAATAAAGATTGAATTGTGTTCTATGGAACTAATATAGAGCAAATAAACGGACTCTTTAATGTGCTATTTGTGTGCTCCTTTATATAGATGTATTTACTTCAAATTTATTTTAAATAAAAACATTTCCGCTCGAAGCAATTATATCGCATCCGCTTTTACACAAACAAAATAAAGAGCGATTTAACAATGCAGTTGCAAACTGCCAGTGGTGCAACTAGGAGTGTGCAAAAGCTGTAAGTGTGCGAGGATTAAATGGTGAAATGTAAAATTGATCATTGAAATTTATCAACACCGATTAATTATAATTGTATCTATAATCGTATCTATAATTTTTAATTAAGGAACTTATGCTATTTTTGTGCTTCGGAGGAAATGTATGTCTATACACACTCTACAGGTTTATTTGAGAGAAGAGAAGTAATTCATCGCTCGAGTTATAATAGTTACGCCACTGGCAACGGACGATTCTGAGATCAGTGGTTCAAGCTCGAGGTAGAGATAAAGTGGAAGGATCGAGTCGGGAATGACGTTATTACGAGTTGTATAGTAATCTCTCTGCATCAGTGATTGTGTCTGCGATCTACGCTTGTTCCGAGCGACGCCTTCGTCCGGGACCGCCGGCGTAGTTCGCTGCCGCGAGTCCCATCATGTGTTTCGCCGCCTGAGAACCACTGTAGCCACGATTGAGACCCAGATCCAATCCTCGTTTGTTGCTGCGGACATACCGATTGAATGTTTATCACACTGTTATTTAAATCGACTATCTTAGAAAGGGCTTTGCTCCGACAAACACGAGTTCGCAAACTCAAGAATCACAAAAAGCATTCGAATAGCACATCCCGATTTATATGTATAATAAGAGCTAGACATCTCCGATTCTATCTCGCTCTTATATCAATTGATTGAAACGAAGTCTCTTCTATATATGAATGTATGCCGATGTAAAAAAGGACACGTACAGTGAAAATCCATTATCGACATTTTTTAAATAAAGCCCTTCCTAAAATAAGTGGTTCCATTTATATCCGATGGAATTAAAGGCAAATAAAGGAGACATTGCGGTACGGAAGAAGTATCAAAGGATAAATGATATTCTGAATATAGAATGTTTCGTTGACAAATCCCAAATTTCCTATATTGAAGTGCTTTTTATTACACCGCAGTTTAATTTGAGATTCAACTTTTATTAAGTAATTCTTAACGAATTTTTTAATAAGTTTTCTTGAAAATCAATTATCTAAAATATTACCAACTAAAGCAGTAAACATAGTAAACATAGGCATAATTTTATAAAGAAATATATACACATATATATCTATAAATAATATATTGAGTTGAAACAAAAATTCGCTACTTTATTTACATTATGTCTATATGTTTAAAAAAAATTTGGCAATTATATCATTCGATAGAGCAAAGTTTCAATTTTAAGAATCTATTTTTTTGGATTACGATACGATGATTTTTAACCGAGTTATAAGCAAAATCAAAATGCTTCTTTTATTAAATCTACGATAGCAAACAAAAAATAATAATAAACTTAAAGAGGTTCGATTATTATTTTTACAAATTTTTTTTGGGCACATGACAGATCCATAAAGTAGGGAGAAAATTTCCTTTTATTCAGTTAGTAATTTTCTATATGTAAAAATTACTACACGTACAGGAATTTAGAAAGCTTAAGCTGTGTTCAGCAGATTCAACATATTCGCTGCTATTGATGTATTTTTCTAGATTAAAAAGTCTGATTGGATGATTTAAAAGAATACACTAATAACGAATGCTTACTCAATTGTTAATCTGCTGAACGCAGCCATAAATACTTTTCGTAAGTACAAACTTTAAGCTTTAAAACTATTTTTGACAGTTAAATTTTGTTCATTTTTAACAAAGGTTTAGCCGCTTGAATTTTGAAGCTACGAATTTTTATTTTAACTCAATATTAACAAAATTAACATCCCATATGTATTAATTATTAACCTGATAGCATGCCTGTCTAAAATCATGACATAAGATATGAGTTTAAAAGACGTTTTGCGTTTCAAGTTTGGACAGGGATAGTAACATGAATTGTGCATAACGTTAAGATATCATTGTATAACATTATCTTACTTTTCCATCTCAGGGCGGTTGATGCGACTAAGACGAGAGAGTATCTCTAGAAACTCGTCTCGGTCTATGTCATCCTGCTGATCCCAATAACTTTCATGGCTGCGTGCGTAGTGTAAAATAAGAATCGATTGAGGAATTGATCGATTAATCGTGAGAACTGCACACAATAATAAACATCGAATTACACGAGATAAGAAATGAACGTTAAAAATGTAATTTAACTGGGAAATCGATAAGAATCGCCAAAACTTACGACCTCTATAAAATCTATTTTTCTCTCATGAGAAAGAGACTCTGGAAACTGAAATGAATGATGTGAGAGAGGTAAAAATATAGTTGTCAAATATAATTCAGGGACGGCGTTAATAGATACGCCTGCAACTCGGAATTATTCTTCGCGATTGTCTAAAACGTCGTTCGAGTCATTTCAGTTACCAGGATTCCTTTCAATCGGCTGGCATGTCAAATAGGAACTAGGTTAAACTGTCCGAGCAGATGCACTTCTGCTTCTCGTTCAATATATTCATTTAATTGTAAATAAGCACTCGAGGAAATTTCTATTTGCATTGATTCGAAGTTGAGTATATTTAAAAATTAATTTTGGGCGCCTACTTATTGTTGAATATAACTTGATTAATTATAGACACGTAACTAAATATTTACTGATAGCGTTCAACCATCGATAATGTTAAAGTTTTTTATACACTATATATGACTTTTTTTTAAAGAGAGAAAATTCACGGGCGGTTTATTATATATGACTCGGCACACACAGGATTTAATAATTTATATAATATTCTAATAACTTTTGTTTCTCTCGTCTTTCCGATTTATCAAAGTTAGGAAGAGTTACATTACTTACCGCGGTATCGCATCGGCTGTGAGACTCGAAACTGCGATGACGACTACGAACATCAGTAGTGTGCACAAAGCAGTCATCTTGGGTTGCATCTAAAATAAATTAATCATATAATTATATTATAATAACTGATTGTACCTTTATAAATCAAGAGGTAGTAAATCATAAATAAGATCAGAATGAAAGTCAGGTACACACGGCTTTTTATAGCTAAAACAATCTAGGCACTCCACATAATAAGATGAGAATATGCTTTTATATAAGGAATGTAAATATTCAGATCTCGTCTGGAGATCTGAATTCCTGCATTATATAATAATACTTGGCATCTCAGGTGGTCATATTAAATGTTAAATTCGGCAGTAAATGAGATTAAGATGCGTGAATACAAAGCGACATACTCGCATGCATTCCTTTTGTAATACGTAATCCTGTGATATTCCTCGTCCCATTGTTCTACTTGGTTTATTATCTTCACCACCGTTTAATGAAAAATATGGCAATGTCAATATATGCTTTACCATGCGCGTTTGCTTAAAGACCAGCAAATCCTAGTAGAGAAACGTTCCTGATTGCGAACAACTCTACTACTGCAACGGATTTGGGGCTGTCTTGAAACATTCGCGAGATTTCATTTTCGTGGAATTCTGATTTAAAGCAAAATTTAACTCAAGTATAAAACTTGTTTAAATATGCAACAATAATTGTGACGGTAGCTAAAAAAAAGTACCAAGTATTGTACGAATAAAATATTGTTTTCGAGAAAAACATGTTTAAAGCTTTCATTCAAAACTGTAATTTTATCAGTAATTGATAGAATAGCAGGAATTGAATTGTACAATATTTTTAAATATTCTGCTAAGATAGAATTGGAAACAAGTAAGATGGAAAATAAATGAGGAAGACATAAAAAGAACGATTTTGCTGAAGTGTAATATCTGAAAATTTAGCTACAGATCTGAAAAATTTTTAATTGAAAATGAACGAACCAGAAAATTCTGATTTGTTTTCAATTAAAATTCCAATTAATGCAATCGGATTTTCTTTCCTATCAACGTAGAATATTGGAACTTTTATCAACATTGTTTATTATGCTTAAATATCCTACATAATGATTTTAATAATCCAATAAAATTATTTTTAGAGCTGTGTCTAGCAAAATTTTTAAATAATAATACTTCAACAGAATCATTCTAGGATTGCCACAAAATTTAAAATCAGGGAAATGTCAGGGAAATTGAAAACGATCAGGGATATCAGGGAAAAGTCAAGGAATTTTGCAAAAATTATTTCTGTAAAATTAAAATTTGTCTTTAAAATTTAATATACATGTATATCTCTACTTTAATATACATCTCTACTCTCTAAATCTGAATCAGTGGATAATTACTAATTACCCATACTTGACACTGATAATCAGTGAAGTTCAACAAAAAAAAGAAAGAATGTTTAAGCATTATATAATTGAAATACTGATATTTGCACGTTAATTTCAATTTTCCATTCATTCAATTTAAGCGCTAAAACAAGTTAGTTCATATAATAAGTTAGATCATATAATAAGATTAGCTAAGTTAAGTCTCATTTAATTGATTACCCAGACATTCAGATTTAGAGAGTACGTAGTTTTGTGTGGAATATTATCTTAACAATTAAATGCAAGCAGCACTCAACAATATTAATATTTACATTGTTATGTTAAATTGCTTTCTCAACAAAATATTTTATGGTTTCCAAATTAGAAAATATAAAAAAATTCAAAGCATCAGAGAAAAGTTATGGAATTTTAGAATAAGGAATTTGTGACATTCTGTATTCTTTCCGTGTAGAAAAATTTCAAATATTTTATCAAAGTGTTTGTGTTTATTTTGCCTACCAAGTTTTATTTTGTTAGAATAGCTTCTTTTATAAATGTACAACGTGACTTTGCTGATCTCATATCGCCAGATATAAATTGTAAGGTTAAGAAAAGATTGTCACAAGATAAGAAAGACAGTGTCTACTGAAAAGATGGTAATTCGCTCGTATATTTTCGAACGTAAAATTTTCAGAAATTTTCTCAAAACATTGTACTCTTATCGTATCGTGATAAGTGATAGACGTGACAAGTGATCGTTAGTTAAATGATCATCGATTTACTTATATTTATCGTAGTTAAGCAATGCGAATATTGTTTCAAAACCATCGTAGGCGGTCCGTATCTTTTCAAGTATCTTTCAAGGAGCGGAAAGTTCGTTGTTAAATGAAACGCCAAGTAAAGGAGATGAGAGATTGTAGTAGTTGAAGGCGAAAGATGAAACAATGGTCCCTCCAGAATATGGAGAAAAGTTGGCGTGTTCTCGGCTAACAAACTATTCAACTCGCGACCCAGGAAGAACGTCCTGTCATCCGACGATAATGTATATGGGGTAGAGGTAGCTTTCTCGTTCTGCAGAATTAGTAGCATATCCATATAAGCAGTGAAAGATATAATTTAGAAACTATCATAGATATAACGACCTTTAGCCCAATGATGAATGTCTATAACACTAGGTTTACAAAAAATATTTTTTAATTACTTTGAACTAGACTAGGCATTGCTTATAGATTTTTGAATAAAAGCATGTTGCAAGTTAAATTTCACTAGCACGTTAGGTTTCCGAAGTAATCAAGATTTAATGCACTAAAATGATTTTTTTACGTTATTTGACATTCTTTTGTAAAAAGGATTGTTAGCTTTTAATTCTGATCAAAAGTCATTGTAGTATTGTTCCCCTATAAAATGTATTTTTTGAAATTTCAATATCTTACTATTCAGTCTGAAGGACTCATATACAGACTTTTTCTAAGATAGTAAATTTTCCGCTTATTAGAAATCATTATACTTATAATTTCTAATGTGACTATTATACAGTGTAATTTGTTATATTATAGATAATTATATATTACAGATGTAAATGTACACACACACACACACACACACACACACACACACACACACACACACACACACACACAATGTCTCATTTTAATTGCCTATCTCTAATATCTAAAAAACCTTTTTTAACAAAAAGTTGCACATCAGTGTCTGTGTATCGATAGCAACAAATTAAAAATTGTATATGACGTCGTAAGCGGAAAATTTGTTATCTTAAAAAACCCTACATTTAAATCCACATAGCTAAAGAGTAAGATACTGAAATAAAAGAAAATGTATTTTCTAAGGAATGAACAAAATACATTCATGATTTTTAATCGAAATTTCAAAATAATGATTATCTTCTTTAAAAAAAATGTGAAATATCGTTAAAAAAGTTATTTTTGGAAATTAAATTTGAATTATAGAAAACATGTTGGAATTTGCGGTAACATTTTTAGCATTCAAGAATGTATAAGAAACATCTAATTAGCTTCAAAGTCATTTTTTACTATATTAACTATATAGTGTAATATTCTATACTGCTGCATTAATGATACCATCGTAACATGCATTAATAAGAATCTTAAGTGAGATAATTACGAAGGAATTAAGAAAAAAGATAACAACTTAACTAGATCGTTATTTTTAATTTCGAGACTATAAGTAATATTGATGTAACAGATTTACGCAATATATGTCTTCCAAACAGAGTAACGTTTAGAAACTCAAGCTATAATTCAAGTTCTCATTTTATTTTCTTTTTATACTCTTTATGTCTACGAATTTCGCAGCACTTTTTTCTCTCTTTCTTTTTGACGTTTATTCAATCAGCATTTTATTGCGGTATAATTACAACTCGCTTTGAATAGTATCTTGTAGATAATTGGATACACGGTTCGCAGTAATTGATGGCCATAGGCTGATATTCCATATCCGTGTATTTATTTTCGTCTGTGAAAGACGATGCGTTTATACTCTGGGTCGTAGAACGTTATTTCTCTTTCACAGCATAAATATGAGAATTTTTATATTAAACATACAATTATGTGCGAAAATCGCACTGTTTCGTTATTATTTTGTACAAAGTGTTTATTAAAAATTTGTTGAATGATCGTATTTTTTTAAATTCGCCTTTCTTTACAAATTGTATACGTACACACATATATATATATATATATGTACATGAGAACAGTACTCTATAAAGCACTACTCTTTTTAATTTGCATTATGACCAAAATTTTAAAAGCACTGCTCTTGTTAATTTGCATTATAACCGACATTTTAAAAGCACTGCTCTTGTTAATTTACATGATGATCCAAAAATAAAATGATCCATATTTTTCAAGTTATATTGTAGTTTTCCAAGACATTTCTCTGCTCGTAATGTCCACTAAATGGATCGTTTCCGTACTATAATTCCATACGCATAACATTGAAGGCAAACAGAAAACAGAAAGACGTACTGCACAGAGTTAACGTTCCGAGAACGCTTAAAGTTCGCGTTTAATTTTCCCCGGTTGCCATTAATGCGGATTAGACGACTCTGGCGCCGTCGCTTTAGTATACTATACTTCGAGAGAAGCTGCGAACCATAAATCTACGCAATTTCATTGAATTTATCGTCCCTGATACTTAGCGTAACCGTGTGCCGAACGAGATGGGCGATATAAATCAAATCATATCTAAAAAGAAAAACAACGCGGCAACACAAGAGTATGTTAAATATACCACGCGGTTAACATCGTTAGTTCCCGACATAAAAATTATTTTTCTTGAAAACACGTTCCCGATAATTGTCCCCGGTAGTGCCGTCGTAACCGCAGTGAATCTAATAATGCGATAATGGAGTTTCGATCCAGAAACTTTACTTGTGTTGATCGTTCAGTCTTGCGATCCCGACCGGGGATTTTTTTTCTACCTGCGCGTCCTCAAGTGTTCTAATTTTCTGTCTACGGAATGAAGTGGTTCCAATTTGCCAAAAAATCGTTTGTTCGCCGTTAGGAATAAATCGAATCAATCTTATGATATATACAAATATCATAAAATTATTCGGCCAAGAAAATGTCTTCTCATGATTTTTGAAAAAATTATCGATACACTAAAAAAAACTAAATTAAAAAAAATATGTTTGAATAATTCTAAATATTTATTAAATGTAAATATATATTTATTTGATACAAGAACTATTAATTT